CAAAGTGCAGCTTCTATGGATTTTGAAATATATTTATGGTAAAACAAGCCACAAATGCTGAAAATGGCTTTTAAAAAGATACCTTCAGATTCATATTCAGCTCATAGAGTTGTGTTGCAGGTCAAAAAGATTAACTGAGCTTGTTTTCTTAAATGTTATTGCTATTTACAGTTTTCACTTTCAACATTTAGAGTCATGCATTAGCAAATACATTTTACACCATGACCTCTCGCATGGTCATTAAGTCTTACTTGTACATAAATGCACAAATGGAGTCAAATTGCTTTTCCATTTCCTTAGCTGAGCTCTTCTAAGTGATAGGAGGCTTTGACCCTAGGAAGAGTTAGAGTCAAGTTTGAGGCACTTCTGACACAGAAAAGTCATGTCTAGTGAGAAATGCAAACACATGGTGGTAGTTGAGATGCAAAATAAATTTGCCTTGAGTGGTGGATTAATCTCTTCAAAGATCTGTGGGGAAGTGAATTCTGACTCACCTCTGGCTTGCAAGCAAACTTTAGTTCAGGCTAGCTGTAAGTCAAAGATCATGGTGCCTGTTGGCCCATCGTGGGGATCAGAAATGTTAAAAGGAATTGGGGACCTTAGGGAACTTCTAAAAATGCCACATCAAAGTTAGTAGAAGACCTAGAAATTACATGTTTAGGCTAAAGGAGAACATTTAATGGGCAAAGGGAGACACAGTCACTTTTAGTGTGGGAAGGTCTTTTAATTTTACCTGTTGCTACAGATTGGAAGCCTCGCTATCACAGGTAGAAAGTGCAAAGAGACAAATTTTAATGTGCTGTGTAAGTGAATTTTCTTATTCTTAGAGTAAGCCAGCAATAGAACAGGCTACTTGCCAAAGCTGTGGGCTCCTGCTGGTTCTAAAAAAAATGACATTCATGGCTTGCTTAGGAAGGAGGCTGGTAGGTCAGGTAATCTAAAATTCTCACTATACTCTAACTCTAGGACTTCTCTTTTTTTTTTCTTTCAAAGAAAGAAAAATAGGAGCTCGGAAAATATTTCAGTGGTCTAAGTGCTTGCCGGACAAACACAAGGACCTGGGTTTGATAGCAGGTACCACATGCTGTGCCAGCCCCAGAACTGGGTGTGGTGGCCAACACCTGTAATCCTAGTGCTGGGGAGGCTGAGACAGGAGGATCACTATGATTCCAAGCTGTATGGCAAGACCTTGTACCAAATAAATAAATAAATATTTTAAAAAGAAAGAAAGATAAACAATAAAAACAATGGTATGGTATAACATTTCAAAACTAGATTGTAAAAGAGTAACAATGGTTAGTACATTATGTATGTATTGTATAAATAGTTACTTATATATAACAAGGTATATACATAAAAATGATGCAACAATATAAATATAAAGCTTTCTTTTTAGTGAATTAATAGCAATTAGTATGACTAGCTTGACTATCTTGTGTGTTTATTTATTCATTTATTTATTTTCCCTTTCCCCTTCTCTCTTTTCTCCATTCCCCCATTCCAGTTTCTCTTTCCTTTTGAGCAGTTTCTTCCCATTTCACAATATCTATTCTACATGTTGGGCTTCATTTTCTCTTTCAGCTTGTAGACAATATAATGTTTACACATATGAGACTGATTTATTTCACTTTCTAGTGTAGACTCAGGTTGCATCCATTTTCCTATGAATGTATCAAGTTTATCCTTCTTTATAGCTGAGTAGTACTCCACTGTATAAAAATACCACATCTTTTTTATCCATTCCTCAGTTGATGAGCATTTGGGTTGCTTCCAAGATTTAGCTATAACAAATTGTGCTACCATAAACAGAGGTGCACATATATCGCTGTAGCATGTTTTTAATTCTTCTGGAAAATATGCAGAAAGAGAATAACTGGGTCAAATGGGACCTCTAATTCTAATTTTCTGTGGTGTCTCCACAGATTCCCACAGTAGTTGTACATTGCCACCAATAGTGGAGAAGGATTCCTTTATTCCCACAGCTCTTCCAGCATTTTAGTTGATTGATTTCTTAATGATAGCCTTTCTTTCTGGGGTGAGATAGAATTTCAGCATTGTTTTAATTTGCATCTTTTGAATGACTAATGATGTTGAAAATTTTTTGATATATTTACTTGCCATTCATATTTCTTTGTCTAAGAAGCATGTGTTCATCTCAGATGCCCATTTTTTGATTGGGTCCTTGAATTTAGGGGAGTCTGACTCTTTTTTCAATTCTTTGTTCTACATATAAGTCCTTTGTCTGAGGGACAATTAGATAATTTTTTCCCATTATATAAGTTGTCTTTTCAGTCTGTTGGTGACTATTGTTTGATGTGCAAAAGATTTTTAATAAGATGAGATACTAGTTACTGATTCTGTGAAGGATTTCCCATGTGGCTTGGGTTTTATTCATAAAGTCTCTGCCTACACTCATGTCTTCAAGATTTCTTCTTACTTTTTCTTCCAGTGGGACTAGTGTTTCTGTTTTAATATTTAGATCTTTTATCCCTTTTAATACTATTTTAGATCATGATGACGGTCTTTGGTCTCATTTTAATATTCAGCACGTAGAGAGGCAATTTTTCAAGCACCATTTATACAGAGGCTATATTTCTTCCAATGAATATATTTGGACCCTTTGTCAAAGATGAAGTATGTTTCTGTATCTTCTAATCTGTTCCACTCATACTCAGGTCTGTTTTTTTCCCAATGCCATGCTGATTTTATCACAGTAGCTTTGTAGTATAATTGCAGGTCAAGGCTTGTGGTGCCTCCTGCCTTGCCTTTGTTGCCCAGGATTACCTTTGCAATTCGAGGTCTCTTATGCTTCCAGATGAATTTTAGAAATGTTTATTCTAGTTCTGTGAAGTGTATGAGTGGTACTTTCATTGGTATTGCATTAAATTTGTATAACAATCTTTGAAATACGATCATTTTTACTATGTTGGTTTTTCCTATCCATGATGAAAGGATATGCTTCCTAACTCATTCCTGGAGGAAAGTATTACCCTGATACTAAAACCAGAAAAAGACCCAACCAAAAAAAAGGGGGCGGGGAGTGAAGGAAAGAACTACAGGCCATTCTTCCTAATGACTTGTAGTTCTCTCCCCAACCCATGGGTTTTTTTTTTTTTTGGGGGGGGGATCTTTTTCTGGTTTTAGTATCAGGGTAATACTTCCCTTCGGGAATGAGTTAGGAAGCATTGTTTCCCTTTCAAGAAGAGCAAGACAAACCCAAAGCCCATATAAGGGAAAAAGCCCATGCAGAGGAAAAATTATCAGAGCAGAAATCAACACAATGGAGACCAGGAGAACAATACAAAGAAGGGCCGGCCAAATAGCTCAGCAGATTAAAGCGCCTGCCTAGAGAGAAGCAGGGGCTGGGAGTTCAATTCCCAGGCCTGCTGTGCCATTCCCACCCCCGTGGCACATTGAGAGGACAATTGAGACTAGGCGTGGTGGCACACGCCTGTAATCCCAGTGCTTGGGAGGCTGTAAACAGGAGGATCACTACAAGTCCAGTCTATACAGTGAGACCCTGTACACCCCTATACACCCTGTCTTCAATACAAAAAGAAAAAAAAAGAATGAATTGAAGAGTTTGTTCTTGGAAAGAATAAATAAAATTGGTAAACTATTAGCCATCCTTATCAAAAAAAGAAAAAAAAAGGACTTGATTTCATGCACTGATAAATGATAAGGGTGAAATCCCTACAGATCCTCTGGAAATTCAGAAAACCATCAATACCTAATTTAAAAGTCTTTTCTCTCATAGGATGGAAAACAAGAAATAGACAGATTCCAAGATACATATGAATTATTAAGTCTGTATCAAAAAGATACAGAAATCTCCATAACCCAGTATCAGTCAATGAGATTGAAAATGTAATGAAAATTTACCAACAAAGAAAAGCCCAAGTTCTGATGGAGTCACTGCTGAATTCTATAAGAAGTTTAGAGAAGATTTAATGTCAGTATTCTGCAGTACTTTTTAATGCAGTAAAATTTCGTTCCAGGACTAAGCATTGCAGTTCTGCACCCCTTTAAAAAGCAGAAGAGGGACAAAAAGTACAAAAAGTTAGATGTTACCTTGCTGCGACTCAGGTAGGCTAAAACTTCCAAAGATTTGACTGTAACGTGGAAAGGCCATATGGGTAGCAAAACAAACAGATAATACCAAATGTTTTTTTAAAAAAACAAAAACCAGAGGGGCAGTCTGGATTGCTAAATGCAGCTTCTTGCCCCAGCTTGCTTCAGCCCCGTGACTCCTGTCCTAATTCCCTCTCTACCTTCAAATTTCTACTGCAGACCCACGAGATGGTAGTTTCCCATGGGCTGCCTGCCCTCAGTGTACAGTAGACAGAAATCAGAGCCATTTGGGCATCGGAATTTCTACTGTTAGAAACTTGAGGAACAGGTGTGCTTTGGACACAGCATTCTGTTCCTTGTGAAGGGCTTACAGGTAGTTATTTTATAAAGAAAATCAGTGTTTCTAGAAATGTAATGGCCCAGAGACTATCACTTTAATATGAACTCTGTAGTTAAATAATTCTGTTGATAGAGGGCTGAAACCACTAGGTGTACCTTGGAAGAGAATGCTTCACTGTGTGGGAGCCAAGGCTGAAGGGCGGGGTAGAGTTGTGGGTCACTGCATCCTCTAGTGTTTCTCCTCCACCACATCTCCACACAGCACTTGCCTCTAAGTAAAGTTGAATAAATTATTTAAAGAATGTTGGTTTGTAGGGAAGCCACATTGTAATTATTTTTTTAAAGAATACGAAATAGTAATTAAAAATAGCATTAGAAATTATACAAAATTTCACTGAACAAAGTAATAGGAATTCAACAATGGTTGCTGTATTGCATGCTGTTATCTTCAGATCAGTTTTTCAGGTTACCAGATATACATGTGCAAAATTGGAATTATAACCTATTTAGATGTCTCATGTCTCTGTCAGACCCTGTGTTTGCCATAAGCTTCATATAACTGAATGCCTGTTTTCTTTCTATCTTTATAGTGTCCATGGAAAACATTGGTGAACAAGGTAAATATGTTATTATAGATATAAAATGTTAGTGTGAAAAAGTTGCATCCATTAAGATTTGGTTGAACAATTAATAAACTGTTCTTTGAGAATATGGAAATAAGAACGTGTAAATAATGTCTGATTTCTCTAAATTTGCAGGCTAAATTCAGCCCAACTTGACAGAGTATTCTACTCTGACATGACCCTATTTGTACCGAAGATACTTTCTTAAAGTACAAGAATGTCAGTTATCTCCTGTCCCAGCCCACTGAGTCATCCTCATAATGTGTGACAACTACCATTGGCCTTAATTATCTTATACCAATTTGAGTGCCGTATTGGATAATTCAAATTTTTAATGATTCTATAAATATAATCATTCTTTAGAAAATCAGAAATTGCTCTTACCAGGCACATCAGTTTCAAAATGCCAAACATGCTGCATTCTATTTATTCAACCATATCTTACAGAATTAGGTTGTATATTAATGTGTTATTTAGTGTGAATTATCTCTGCATACAACTTAATAATTTAAGTTTCTGTAATGTTTTAAAACAATATCACATAAATAATGTTTATATGTATTACCTTGAAAAAACTATTCAGAATGCCCTTCTTAATGATTGTCTTGCGTGATAAATAAGGCAATTGAACTCCCACTGGAGAAAATCACTCCTTGTCCAGATGGTCCCTGTTTAAATATGTTCTTGTTACAACAGTGGGGGCCGCCAGCATCAACTACAGTTATGCAAGTCAGCAAACAAATATTCAGATAGGAAGTGCATTTCCTGTCACTATGAGTAAAGCAAAGTTTTTAAAACCTGAAGGTTTTATTAATATTTACTTTTTTCTGCGTCTACACTTTAAAATTGTACCATAACTGCCTTATTTTTATACTTCAGGAAGGGTCCCTGCTAGCTAATTTGCCAGATTACCTACCTACAAAGAGGAGGGTTCTATTCATGGGTGCAGAATAAATCTAACTATGCATTTAGTGATTTAAAAATAAACTTGGCTTTATGTTTTGTAATTAATGAATTGTGCTAATACAGTGTGATGTAAATGAACTTTTATAATACATTATAATAGATTATTTCAGAATTTTAGGACAAGTATATCCTTTCTCAGTACCATGATTTGTGTACATATTTGCATACTACAATGACAAGTATGTTCCTTTCATTTTAGTTGTGTGCTTGATGGCTTATCATCTACTTTTTGCAATGTTTGTCTGGTCGTACTGGAAAACTATCTTTACATTACCAATGAATCCTTCAAAAGAAGTAAGTTAAAACATTAACAAAGTTATACTAAAGATAGAAATCAATAATGCTGATGTCTGAATAATGAATCATCTTGTTTTCACTAGTGTAAACTTATCAAGCGTATTCTTTTGGGGAGATTTTATTTTATTTTATTTTATTTTATTTTATTTTTTTAACATTGATTTTAATGAACATTTTAATGTTATGTATAACAGATCATTATGAATACAATGGAAACAAAGTTTTATCAATTTAATAAAAAAATTTCAACATAAAGTGGGGAGGTAATAATTGATACCTATATATAGTATTTATTTTTAAAAATATTCCCAGCTTGAGGC